ACGATGTAAAATAAAACAACAGTGATATTTCACGGAGTTTTTGCAGTAGAATAGCTAGGTAAAAAGCAATATTAAGTGTATATGGATACACACTGCTAGGAGAATATCAAAATGGTGATACTCTTCTAGAAGGCAATTCAACAGTGTCTTAAATTTGGGGGTTTTTATTTTTTTAAGAAATTCACCTAACCCTTTACCAATCAATCTGGGTAGATAGTACAGAAAAATACATGAGCACAAAGCAGTACATAAATGTTATGAAGTGAATATTTTGTGTTCCCCCCCAGATTCATGTGTTGAAATCCAATCACCAGTGGGACAGCATTTGCGATAGAGCCTATGAGAGGTAATTAGCTCATGAGGGTAGATCTTTCGCAAATGGCACTCATGCCCTAATTTAAAAAAAAAAAAAGCAAGCAGCTGGCTAATCCTCTTAGTGCCACATGAAGATACAGGAGGAGTAGGCTATTCACAACCAGAGGGCTCTCACCTTGACCCAACCATGCTGACATTCTAATCACAGACTTCCAACCTCCAGAATGGGGTGATATACATGTTTCTTGTTTGAGCAATCTATGGCAATTAGTTATGGCAGCCTATAACAGCACAGTGTAACTGCAGATAAACAATATATCCAGCAAAAGTAGAGTAGTTAAAAAATGGCATATCCATGCAATAGAATGGCATGCCTCTATTAAATAAATGTATGTGTTTATATAGGAATATCTTCAACATGTACTGGTAAGTGGAAAAGTAAGTTGCTACAGTATGGTGCTATAACTGTTAAAAGAAAAAGTCAAATATCCACTATATGATATATAAACATAGATGTAGACATAGCTGTTTCTGTAGCCACAGACACAGATCTATAGATACTTAATATAGGGGAGAAGATACATATGAAACTTATACCAAGGGCTACCTCTGGAATGGGAATGTGAGAATGGGGGTAGAGGGACATAAAGGGAAATATTCACTTTATGTTGCATACACCTGAAATAAATATATGCATATGAACAATTACAATAATAATATATTTACATATTATTATAATTGTGAGTGCATATTAATTGTATAAATGAATGGGCTTTGTCGCTGTATTTCCATATATTCTGCAACTGGACAAAAAAGAATGGAAGAAAGAAGGAAGGAAGTGGGGGAAGAGAGGGAAAATAGGTAAAAGAATCAGATGTAAAGGAACTTATATGAAAATCAAAGATTTTAACCTTAAATTAGGAGGGAACCATTAGACTTCAAAACAAGTAAAGATATTCTGAGATCCATAAGTCATGCATGGTATCAGATGATCTTCAGAATGCTTGGGGACAGACAGACTGGTTAGAAACCTGTTGGCACCATTTTTTAAATGCCCTGCCTAGGGCAGTGAGCTAAGAGAGCTTTCTTGAAGATGAGAACTCAGGTGGGGTGAGTGCAACTGAGAAGAGAGGAGCTCAAGGTCAGTCGAGGCGGCAGGTTGAAGCAGTGGCGATCCCCTCCTACCTGCACCTCAGTTACCTGATGCGGCTCAGAACATCAGTGACAACAGCCCCAGATTTGCTGGTGGTAGAGGTTGGCTTGGACCCAGGTCTCACACACACATGTACTCACGCACACACAGACGTTCTTTTAATCCTTAGGCAATGACTTCACTACATGTCCTCATTACCTCACAGGTGACTTCATATACTCTTTATGATCACACAGCTACTAAGTGGCAGATGGGGCTTACACCAGTGTCCTCTAATTCTAAATTTGGCATGCTTTCAGCACACCTTCGAAGGTAGTAAATGTGTTTCTCATAAAGACCCCATCAGGTATTTAATTTTACTGCCATTTTCCTTTAAAGAAACTCAGGTTGCAGTTGAGAAAAGCTTGTTCAGTTCTGAGTGAAGGAGCTGGGTTCACCAGTAGGTCATTCAAACTCAAAGGCCATCACCTTCCTGCATGGCCGTCAAAGGAGCCCTTGACATCCACACCTGACAGCAGCATCTCTGGAACAGTGTCCGTGTGGAGGGTGGCCAGTGAGGACTGTGACAGGTCTTCTTCCAACTGCCACCCAACCCACATCTGTCTAAGAACTGTGCCTCAACTGACTGAGGAGCGTGCCTGAGAAAGCCGGGACCTGATAGTCCTGTTTCGTCCTGTGCCTCTGCCCCTCCTAACTAATTTGGACCTCTGCTCTATGGGAACAATAGGGTTGGGATTTGGGTACAGAGGCTCTAGATCTTCTCCACAGGCTCCCTACAAGATGAGCATGTCTTCTCAGGATTGATGGTGCTGTTTGGGGGCAGGCACTTGTAACTATGAACAGCGTCAACAAGAAACTGGGCTATGTAGGGAGGAAAATGAATTGGACTCACCAAGAAGTGCAGAAAGTCCTCCCCAACCAGAAAGAAGATGGCACAACTGCCATGCTTCTGTGATGCTCACTGGCCCACCATAAGACTTGACTGTATACCTCTCCTTTGGGCTCAGTGAAGCATCCTTTTACTTGTGTGTCTGGATCTGTCATTTGGGGATTGTGTACTTACGTGTTCCTCCTTCCCTTCCTTTTATTCATGAAAGTTAGCTCAAAGGAAGGACACATCTGAGTGGAAAACCACAATGATCGGCCAAACACTGCTCCTTGTCTTGCATTTCTTTTCAGAGGACATCTGTTTTCAATGTCCAAGATATATTCAAGTGTTAACAGAAAATAGCAGGTGTTTAGTCTAAGGCATTTCCCTCAATTTAGGGAAGAGAAGAGAGGGAGAGAGCAACATTGCATGAATGTGCCATCTATGATCCACCAAGAGAAAGCCTATCCCCTGCTTCCAGCCACACCAGCAAGAGAGCAGCTAGTCCCTAGAGAGGAGGTGGCTCCATGGTGTGCAAATGCAGGTGTAAACAGGGGCAAGATCACTGGGACAACGAAAACAAGATGCAAAGGGCCATGTGGGCAGGCAAAGGGCCATGTGGGCAGGTACGATGGACATGCCAGCAGCTATCTATGGAGACCAGAAACCGAAAGCCAGACCCTACCCCATGGCTCCCTTCATACTGCAGAGCATCACAACTGGACTGCAGGAGGCTGTGCCCTGAAGAAAGCTCTGAAGTCAGTTATGCCCTTGGAATATCAGGAACTTGGGGAAAGAGGTTACTGTTTTGAAAAATAAAGATATATTTTACATTTCCAAGCTTTTAGGGTGAGATTTGTACCCACTACACTTAGAAGAATCATCCCTGTTTCTGACAAACTATCCTTGACCAAGATAGCCCATGTAGAAAGTAAATTAGCCATAGCCCAACACACTTTTATCAATATTCTTTTACTGTCTTGGTTGCTGGTTCATTTGCTGTTTATAGCAAAGTTCTAAAATTGCAGTTTCCTGGCCACTACAGGTTAGTTAACTTCAGGGTGCTTTATGTTCCCAAAGCCAAATCTAAACCTGATCAATTTTCTCCCCAGAACTCACTGAATACTGTGCAGACCTGGCTGTGCAGCTGGTAGTCACAGAGTCTGAATCTCAACTCTGTTAATTCTTAGCATTCTCTCTTACCATTCAAAGCCATGTCTGAGCTCTTTTCCAGGTGAGCACTTACTGGGATTGTGTGTGATCTGATTCAGGCTGCATCTCAAGTATATGAATTTAATTCAACTCTCCACTCTGGGTGTGTAAATGAATCAATTCTGTAACCGAGTATGGTGGTGAACACCTGTCATCCCAGCACTCAGGAGGCTGAGACAGGAGCATGGTTGTGAGTTCAAGGCCTGTCTAAACTACACAGTGAGTTCAAGGTTAGCCTGAACTATATAGCAAGAACCCTGTCTCACACACAAAAAACAAGAATCAATTTTGTGATCACATACCTTCTATCCAACTGACTTTGAGCTCTACCTCCTATCTATACTTTCACAGTGGGGTTCTCACATTTTCCATTATATAAACACCTGCCCAAAAAGTAGCCCTGTGCTATTGATTAGGTATTCACAACATAGAATTCCTGTGATATCCATGAATATCAGCCACACAGCAAAGCACCTAACATGAAAATCCTAGGTTGTCCTATCTTGATGCCTGACCCACTTTTTTTTTATTCTTTAAGTTTACTGGTACATTTTAGGTATACAGTATGACGACATTCATCATTAGGAATCTGTATCTTTACATGATATATCCTGCTTCTTACTTTTTTCCCATTCCCCTCCCCTCCCCTTAATCCCTCCATCACTCCCTATTTACAAAGACTGTTTCTGTTTTTTTCCTTTTCTCATACTTATTTCTTTCCCATCTTTCCTTTCTCCTACTTTCCTTCTCCCACTTCCCCTTCCCCTTTGGACCTTATCTTCCTATTTCACATTATCTATTATACATTTTCATCCTTAGTTACACTTCCAGTTTCTCACACCAGAGAAAAAGCTTTGGCTACTTAGTAGTTTCAAGCATAGATTCAGTAAAATGTGCTATACTTTGAGACCTTACTCCTTTAACTCTTTTAGTCTGCTCTTGGTTTAACATCGTTTTAAATGCAGAGCTCTGATTGAAAGGGAAGAGAATATCCCCATTGTGTGCTCAACTTGAGTTTTCTCAAGCCATGGTAAAGGAGGCAGTCAGGAAGTAAGGTCCCTCGCAGTTAATCCCTGAAATTCCTCCCACAGCAAGTGCTTCCTCTGGATGCAGAACTAAAGCTCCAGCACTCTCAGATCCAAGGTTTGCTGCTTGGAAACTCTCATATCCTGCAGTGATCGACCTCCAGCGGGTCCCTCCAAGTACCAGTCTCCCTCCACAACCCAACCCAAAAGTATTAGGTAGCATACTCCACCGAGTACACCGGCCTGAGTTACTGTGAACAGATCACCCGTCCACGCCACACTTGGAAGCTCCACTGTGTGTCTAGGAGATAGTGAGGGCATGACTGGCATAACAAAGACAGGGCGGGGCTGGAGCTGGGTCTGAGCCACTGGCTCCAGTGCACCATTCATTAGCAGGGTTGCTGCATCGCAGGATGAGAAACGCGGAAGCTGATTAGAAAGGGAATTTATCACCCTGCCTGAAAGAGTAAACCAAACAGAGGAGCTGTCAGTCACAGTGGTGTCCAGCACCACCTTGGCAGCCAACATCTGCAGCCCTGGCTGGGTGTTCACCTCAGAAGAGGAAGAGCAAATGGAAGGCTTCTAGAAAAGCTCTGTGTTCTGCTGAGTCTGAGTCTGAAGGGAAACTTCTCACACAGACTTGGAGTATCTAGGGCCCTGTAGGTTCCAGAGCAGGGTAGCTGGCAAAGAGGGCCACATTAGGTGTCTAATACTGGTCCCTGTCACCAGGGGGATCACACCTCCCTGCTCCATGGGTGGCTGGTGTTGTTGTCATCGTGTGGCTTGCAGTGACCAGGGAGATGGAAGCTGAAGCGTCACCATCTCGCTTTCCTCCTCACTGGAGCATAACTCTTGACACCCACACCTCAGAGGAAGAGAGGTCCATGAGGGCCACAGATGGCTGGCTCCACTGCAGGACACACTGGCACAGGGGCACGGCAGGGGAGAGAGGTTCATCTTACAGCATCTATTAGCAGAGAACAAGGGGAGGAGCCAGCCAGGAAGGGAGACAAACCAGACCAAGACCAGTTGCCCCGCCTGCAATCCCGGGAAGGTTCGGGGGCATCCACATGGAACCCTCTGCAGTCACTCCCAAGCAGAACCTCTGGGGGACAGTGTATACTTCCCACGCTCCTTTTCTCTGTGCCCTGGGAGCTATGTTGAGCACAACAGAAGAAACTCTATGAACCTATCTCCTGGATGAAGGCACAGTGTCTCGGAACAGCAGCTGAGTAATGAAGGACACCTAATGTGAGTGAGAAATAAACGCTTGTGGTTATAAGTTACTGAGGTCTGGGGACCATTCATCAGTGCCATTTCTCCTAGACTATCTTGACTCAAAAGGTAGCCATCAATCTCTCACACACATCCATTTTATGTTTCATTCAATTATAAATGGTACCAAACTGATGTCACCTTGTTTTGTAAGTTCTGGGGGAATGTCTCTTCTAGCTTTGGTATACAACTCTTTCTACCTAGACATTAGCACTTCGCTCACAGGAATAAAGAGGGACAAAATATTTTAATAGCCACCAGGCCAGATCCCTAAGCAACACTTAACTACAAACACCAAATACAGGGTCAAAATTCCCATACTGACATATGTCCAGTGGTTGAGTTCCTTCTCGGAAGGCCTCAGAACATTGCTTTCTGAAACCTCTCCTATTAGGTTACCAGCATCTGAGACATATGGGACTCTCACTGGAGGCACTATTCAAATTGCTAATGATGTCACAGAGGTGGACTGTACTGTTGCAGGGCTATACCCAAAAGGCGATTCCATTCCATAAACTTTGTTACATATTTACTACAATTTTCTTCACATAGCTTTCTATGGTCTTAATATAAATTAATTTGTCTCTTTCAAAGGGTTCATGTGGCAGGAGCTTGGTCCCCAGGATGCTGTTATGGGAGAGGTGTGAACTCCTAGGAGGTGGTGCCACATGGGAAGACCTTGGGTCACTGAGCATGCTGTCCTCAGAGGGGTGAAGGAACTTCTCACTCCTGTGAGTTGATACAAAGCCTAAGCCTGACCAGAGTCTTCCTTTCTGTTTTTGCTTCTCCACGTGATTTCTTTCTTCCCCACCACTCCTACCATTGTGACACCATCACTCTGAGGTCCTTATCTGCTCCAAGTGAATGCCAGCATCCGCCTTTGAATCTTCAGCTCTGTGAGCTACATAAACCTCTTTTCCCTATAAAGTAGCCTGTCTCAGACACTTCCTTATAGTGATAAAAAGCTAACTAATGTAGAGTTTTATATTTTAATTTATCCTATTTAATTCTGTAATCTAGATGGAATTAATTTTGGTACAAAGCATTAAATCAGAATTTGAATTTTCACAAATAGTTAATCCTAGAAAAAAGTATCGAATACTCTATCACCCTTTTATTTGTTTAAAATGTCAGCATTCTTGGTAACAAATATTTACTTGTACTGTACTTAAACCTATTTCCATGCTTTGTATCCTATTGTAAAGTTCTGTTGGTTTCTACATACACCATAGAGTTTCAATAGTGTGTGCTCTTATAATATGCTTAAATACCTAGAGCATATCACATTAATTTTTCAAAATATTATAGTTTATAATTTTCTGTTTTCTCTCAAATGAGCCATAAAATTATTATTTTACATTCTTAGCTATTTAAAATCTACTTAAGTATATTTAATGGAATTTTCCTAAACTTACAAATTAATTTTGGGAAATCAGAAAGAAGTTTTTATGAAATTCCATTTTTCTGAGACTATGATATGTCTTTTTATTATTTAAGTTTATTTTGCAGTCTTTTTTGTCTTTCAATTTTATTCTGTTTTTTCATAAAAATTCTACTATTATTTACTGAGTTTATTCCTAGACATTTTACTTTGAAACCATTACATAAATGGCACTTTTAAAAGTATATTCAGCACCAGGGATTTAGCTCAGTGGTTCTGCTGCCTCCCTTGCTAGCCCAAGGTCCCAAGTTCGAGCTCCAGTATTTAAAAAAAAAAAAAAAGTGTATTCAATTTGCTTACTGTTTTTTCAAATATATGTTTAAATTGTTAATTTTTTATATTTCTTTTGTGTTGAGTCATATTATAAAATCTTCATAGTAATCCTAATAGTTTTTAAGTTGATTTTCAAGGGTTTTACAGGTATTTTCTCATCACTTAAAAATAATAACTTTTTGGGCCATGGATTTCGCTCAAGCACAAGATCCCAAGTTCAATTCCTGGTACTAAACAAACAAACAAATAATAACTTTTTCTCTTCTTTTGTAATAGGATATATTGATAATTTGTCTTTCATTGTTTTATTATATTGGCAAGAAGTTCTAGAATAATGTGCAGCATGTTTTTGCTATATCCTAATTATTGTGTTTTAAACATCTCATCAAAAATTTGAAAAAGCATTATAAAAGTAAATTCGATTTGAAAAGTACCCACGGATCCAGAGAATTTTAGGTTAACAATAACATTTCTTTGGTCCTGCAAGAATTTAAAAAAATAATTCTTTGAGTATATTTAGTTATTTAAGCAAAGAAAAAAAAGGCCAAGTCAAAATTAACAAAACAGACCTAAATATTTCCTTATCTGTTTTTACAGGTTACCAACTTAACTGCTTCTTGGACTCCTCTATCATCTATGACCTCGAAATTGAAGTGCTGACTTATTTATGACAATCAAAGATAAGCAAAACAGTGTGGCACATAAAGCACAGCCAATCTCTAAAACAAATAAATGTGTGTCTCTGGTTTACACAACAGTTTTTCCACAGTTCATAGAAAACTGAAGTTTTGTTATAATTCTTTTAGGCCACATGGTACCATTTGTGTTCCCTACTTAATCACTCACTTATATCTAATGCTTGTTTTGTAGAAATTCATTCAGCTATGGAAATGCCTATAATAGGGATCACTGTTCCCATCCTTGCCTTGTCTCTGCCTACCATGGGACAGCCTCAACTATTTCATTCTGCACCATTAAGGACCATTTTGGTAATAATCTGTTCTAACATGGTGACAGTTTCAGGCTCAAACTTCTTATCTTTTCTTTAAGAACAACAAAGACACTAAAGATAAAGACAGCAAAAGACAGTAAAAAATAAAACTGACAACATTTATAATACCTGAATCTGTGCACAGTTCAGCTCAATTATAGGATGAATGGGCCTGGATTAACAAAAAAAAATAACACTTGCTCAGATTTTCCTTTATGTTGGTTCATGAAAGCACATCACCTGACAAGTGAAACAGCTGTTTTTGAGCCCAGTTATTTCCCTTGCTCACAGACACCTGTGGGGGTACAGTGGGGTGCAGCAATCAGAAAACTAGTCAACTGAAGCCCTGTACAACACATGTCCACATTTGGACAGAGGGAGATGAGAGGGGACAGCAGAAGTGGACTGATTCTCACAAACACTGTCCCCATGACACCAGTGGTGAAGACAGCAGGAGCTGGGTGGCAGCATTTGATAGCAGTTGCTGTTTTTAGGTAGAATTTCAGGTCATACGGATGTGAGATTTCACACTGGGGATAAGAAAAAGAGGCCACATCAGAGCACAGGGCTTCACGAGAATGGAATTGACTAGAAACATGATTTCAAACAGTAAGTCATGTACTCACAAGATTCTGGCTGACAACAGACTGCAGATGTGACAGAGATCCCGTAAGATTACAAGGAAACTGAAAAACTCCTATGCCCAGTGGCACCGTAACCATCGTGAGGCAGCACAACTCACTGCCCATGTGCTGTGCTGATGGTACTATGAGTGGCCCTCTGTGCTGCCTGTCGTGTACGAATATGCACATATAATTATGAACAGTGCATAATACTTCGTAATCTCAACAAACAACCACATTTCAGGCTTATGTATTTACTCTACTACCCATTTTTATCATTACATTAAAGTGTACTCCCATTTATTATAAAAAACAACCCTGCCCAGCAGCAGCATCGCACATTTCATGTCTACTGTGTCTCTCAATCTCATCCTTTTCTCTCATCTTTTCTCATCTTTGCTTTGACTGTTTTTTTCATCGTGGCCTTAAGATCAACACACACACACACACACAAACACACACAGAGCATGGAGATACAGTAGGTTATCACACAAATGACGCTTTTAAAATCCACTTAATTTCTCACTTTTTTCAGGTATATATAAAAGGTTTTTTTATATATATTTCTCTTGGGTTGGGCCTCACTGAAATTTTTTGGCCTTTCGGTTCTAGAATGGAACCCAATGCCTTCACACTGAACTTCATCCCCAGTCCCTATTTTCATTTTTTTATTTTGTGGCAGCATCGTACCAAGTCACCAAGCTGCCCAGCCAGGCTGGGTTTAAATTTGCAATCTTCCTGACTCTGCCTCCCAGAATGCTGGGATTACAAGCACACATCTCATGCCTGACTTCCATTACTGAACTTTCATACCAATCCTAACAGAAAGTGTCAGTACCACCTATCATGTTCCCATATTGACGAAATCATTCAACAACACACTTGCCATCACTGAGTGACCCGTGACTGTGCTCTGCCTTCACTTAGAAGTCTGAGAAAACTTCATCAGCTCCAGCCTACCACTGTCTCCCTCCTGGATATCTGCAGCAGCTCCTCATACTCTTCTTGGTTCTCTCATTGCCTGCTTCCCATTGTCTATTTTTCACAAAAGAAAACACTTCCTCCTTCTTTGCCTTTTTGTTCTGTCCAAGATACAAGCCCATTGGCTGGTACCGCCCACATCCAGGGTAGGTCTTACTCAGTTTGCTGGCCTATGTGCCAATCACCCACAAATACCCCCAGAGCTTATGATTTGCTATGTGGTCCTTACTCTAATCAAGTTGACTTCAATGAACACACCACTGCCCTCTCACACTGCTCCAGTCAGAAGCTCCTTGCTTTTCCTAAGTACATTTCCAGTTCCAACTATTGGCAGTTCCTTCTTCCCCAGGGTATCTGACTGGGTTATTTCCTCAGTTTCACTGGGTTTCTGTGCAAACATCAACTCACCAGAGCAGTACTGCACTCTTTGTCCTTCTCCATTCTCTATTTCATTACCCAGCTTTGTTTGTCTTTCATAGCACTTACTACATAAGACATACTGCTTTTGTAATTTATTGGTTAGTATTTGTTAATCATTCTCCTCAAAACACTAGACCAAAAGTTCCTTAAAAATTTAAGTTCCAAAAAGGTAAAAACTACTTTATTAATATTACTTGAGATGCTTAGAGAAGATCTATATCTACATCTATACTTATATCTATGTCTGTATCTGTATTTGTATCCGTTTCTGTATCTCTACCTACATCTACATCTAATCTATATGTGAGCTGGTTTCTTTCTATTGAATTTTCTCACAACTAGATGAACCCTGTAAATCAGTAGATTGGGTTCTTCAGTTTTGGTGTGCTGCATTCAATTTAGGCTTTGATTATTATATTTGTTCTTTTTTCTTTCTTCTAAGACCAATTCCCTGCATCATGAATCCATATTCTACATCTTGTGCACACAGGTGTAACTTTCTTTCATTGCTTCTATCACTGTTTCTTACCCTCTACATCCCAGAGATTCCCAAGTTTACCATCTCAACTACTGATTTAGTTTTCTAAAGCAATTTAAAATTCTATACTTCCATTATTGGATTTCTTCTATTTTCTCTTTATATCAGGCTACAACTTTTCATCTTAGTTAATATCTGTGATATCCCTATTTTTATATTTTCATTTCATAAAGGGCAGAAAATACATGTTATATAAAATATGTTTCTATTTTTCTAAGATACATCCTTTTCAATCTTATATTATCTTACCTTTTCATCTTTCCATGCAGTTCAGATTATTTCACTTTCTTATTTCCTAGCCTGGATCAAAGATATTTCTGTTCTTGTCTGATATTCATGAACAAAAGTATGTGTGGGTGTGTGCGTGTGTGTGGGAGGGTTATCTTCTTAACTTCTCTATCACCCACCTGTATGTTTCAGCAGTGATTAGTCACTGTCGCATAGCTGGCACATGATACCCTACACCCACAACTTAAAGAGGAAAGGTTGAGGGTGCTCACAGTTTCCAGTAAGTTCAGTCCAAAGTTTGCTGGCTCCAAGACAGAAGAAACACATGATGGGAGGGCATAAAATAGGAAGTAGAGACAGAGGAAGACCCTGAAGCAAGACCACATCCTTTCATGTCACACCCCCAGTGACCCACCTCCAATCAGCCCACCTCCTAACACCAAATCAGCTATTGCACCCCATGATCCAATCACCTTCCAAATATATAAGAACATTTTTTATTACTGATTAATGGATCTAACAAACCATACAGCTTAGATTAGGTAAGATGACAGATGTTATTAAAAGTCTCTGCCTTGCTTTTGCTTTTCATTTGGTGAAGTTACTGAGTTGGGTACCAGTTGTCTTTATATTCTATGAAACTGGATTTCTGCTTCAAGTAGACAATGTGATTCTGCTAAATCTTCCTAGCGACACTGCTTTACTCTAGCATGGAAAATTTATACTATGTTAAAAAGACTTGCTTACCAGTTTCTTGTTGGATATTAACATCTTTCACTATGCTTTCTTACTGGTGAATGAAATTTACACTTAGCAATCGCCATATGTTCCGGGCCTTATCCTTCCTTCTTACATCACCTCTCCAAGTTTCAGAAGCAGTGGAATTTTGCTCTTCTAACTTTCCACATCTCCTATTGCAATTCTTTCTGGCTCCCTTTAATCTAGATCTAGCTTCTTTCACTTTAGAAATTCCTTGATGTTTGTAGCATATATACACCATCTTCTCTACTTTCCCCTACAGATATTTTTGTATGCTCCTCAAAGTATTTTAGGCAAGACCTTGGAAATTGAGAAAAGAAGGTGCAAAAGAGTTGGACTACTGCTGTTGCATTTCCATAAAGCCATTTTTGTGACTTGGTAAAAAAATTATTTAATCTATCTTCATTGGATGCACAGATAAGTGGATGTAGAAGACCCAAAATACTGGGTGATTTTCCCAAGTCTTTGCAGTTCACACATAACTTCTAACTCCTCTTGTAAAGTTCTTATTCAGAAACTATTTATGCTTCAAGGCCTGAATTAAATACCTTTTGTTCTGTAAAGATTTTTTACTAATCTAAGTCTAAAGTAGTTTTTCCACACTGAGGTTCCAAAAAATTTTTCTTTGAATCTCTCTTACTGCTTTCATCTTTGTATTATAGTTATTTACAGACCTTTCTGACTTCACTTCTGCCATTGACAAGAAAAAAAAATTTCCTCATAGGTATAGCAGACTTTGACTCCCTCTAGCATCTTTATAAGACTTCAAATTAAAGAAGAGGCAAATTTGAATTGTTGCCCCATGGTTTTGACTTCTATCATCCCAACACAGGTCCAGGAAATCTCAGCCACCCCAGGAGAAGAAGATGCACCTTCTAAACTGAAGATCATCAAGTCTTTTCTTTAAAAGGTAAGATTGCAAATATTGTAGGCTTTGCAAGCCACAGAGTGCTCCCATATGAACGCTCGCTATTGAAGCTTGATAGGAGCCATTAGTCATACATAAATGAATGAGTGTGGTTCCATAAAACTTTATTTACAAAACAAGCAGTAGCTGCTGGGCTATAAGTTGCCAGCCCTCATTATCAATAATTGATTTCTTTACTAAGACAGTGGAAAGTAGGCAGGCCTTCCTGTTCAGCTGGGGACACACATTTCACAGGACACCGGACAACTGTGGAAGGAAGGAGGTCTCCTCCACAACTACAAACACCACAGCTATACTTGAGTACCCTACTTCTTCAGCCAAAAGCCAAGTAGGTTCTACCGAAAGATGAGTGATGACATGAAGATCATAGGTTGCATATCCAATCAGGTGCTATCAAACTTTTGGGGAATAGTGACCTATTTCTCAATGAGTCAATATGGAAACATCTTGTAAAACAATCTTTTAAAAATTCAACAGCAAGCACCACTCTATACCATATTTTAAAGAGACCCCATCTGTGATTTTTTTTTTTCCCCTAGCAAACATAGGTTCCAGCTCAGGCAGCTGTTTGCAGACTCATGGCAGCTAACTCTGCAAAGTGACCTACTTCTTCCAAACTCAGCTCTGCAAATTGCGTGGTTTGAACAAGCCCTGTGTGTGACAGGTTTCTTTTTAAGATACTGCAACCGGGCTGCTATTTCATTATTGCCAACTTTGAAATTTGCCTTAGTGGTTTCCTAGGCTTCACGGAAAGTCTTAAGGAAAAAAATAGACAATTGATAAACATGGTCATGTGCTGAACACAGGCAAAGTTTCTCTGGGTTCCGGTCATACCCTTCTAAGGTTATATCCTCTTTTAGGGCAGGATTCCCACCTTATTCACTCATCTTGATGTTGTCCACAAATTCTAGTGTCTTTCTAGGAGTTGTTCAATTAATATTAGTGTAGTCACTGCACACACGTATAAGAAGTGGATGAAAAGGAATAAGAAGATAGAAAATACAGGAATACAAACATTTGCTGTTCTCAGTTCAATCAAATTTGTTTCTTTGTTCTCTCATGCATTCATTCATAAATATTTACTGAGCACCTTCTCTGTGACCCATATTGATATAGTCTGGATATTACCTACCTTGCCACTTCTAGGTATACAAAATCTGCTGGGTCAACTTGAAATTGATTGTTATAGAAATATATGAGGCTTAATTCTTAAGCTAAAGAAGTAAATTGAAATCTGAAAATAACTGTTACTTGTACTTATAACTTAATAGCAACTCTCTGTAGCTGCAGACACATATCACCAATGGCCATTTTGGAGTCCTTCTTGTATTTTGATAACTACTTCAATATAATTAGTTTTTTATTTTATTTTATGTATTTAACAACATTAATTTGAGAAACAGTCTACAAATCTAACCAAAATTCCAAAGGGGACAGTAATATAACATGTTTACAGTAAGACTCAAAGCACAGAGCATGGAAATGCCTACTGATTTTCATTAGATCTATGTGGAATACATATAAATATATATACCACATGAATATATATATATATATATATTCTATAATGAGCTATACTATTAATAATTATTATTCCTAAGAGTTATGAATGGCTTTTGATTTCTTTAACATCACTAGGATCCTGGATGGATATACTAACAATAGTATTCACTTTAGACTCAATATTCCCTGAACTCTGCCTTAATAACCCTGGAAAGGATGACAGACCTATGTCAGCTTTTCCATTAATAGCAGCCCCAAGTCATTAAGATCTTAGTCACTATGCATATTTAGCTCATTTAATTAATCTCCATAGCAGAATAAAAAAGGTGCTATCAGAATCCCCACCTCAAAGATAAGGAAACTGAGGCACAGAAAAGATAAATAATTTGTCCAAAGTCTCACAGTTAGGAACTACAGGAAGTCTGGCCTCGAGGTCCAAGTACTTACTTATTCTCTGTTATAGTGCTAGGTATGACTCTGGGTACATCAGTCCAGTTCCTTGACTTTATGCAGGGAGAAGAGTTCCCATCTCCCACCAAGTGAGTGAACATCCATCCCCCATTTACTACAGGGAGTTGTATTTCTGCTCCTTTCTGGATTAGTAATATGGCCTCTCCTTATCATTGTGGGGTTCCTTGTACTTTGATCCATGAGAGTATTTCAGAGGGGGAATTAGAAAGAAAGAACTGTTTGGTTTATTTTTGCTTGTTGTGGTTGTTGTTGTTGGTGGTGGTGCTGGTGGTGGTGATGATGGTACAGGGATCAGACTCAGGACCTTGTGCTTGCAAGGCAAGTGCGGTGCCACTGAGCTAAATCCCCGACCCTTATTTTTGCTTTCTTGTAGTATATTTATGTATTTTTATAGTTTCCAAGCATTTTATTGATCATTTCTACATGTGTAGATTGGAGAACGCTGAGGTTTTTGCCTGTGCTCATGATACACCTTACCTGCAAGTCTTCAATTCATTCTGTTTCTTACGTGATTTTCTTAAAAAAAATAGATTAAATGCTTCTCAATTTCTACAGAATGAAAAAACAGTTTCTTTGGCATGGCACACAACTTGAATTCATCCAATCTTTTCAGTTTGATGACCTACCATTCTCTCTATTCCTCTGATGTTTCCATCATGCTAGATTATTTTCTCTTTTCTCATAGTGTCTGATAAATTAGAACTATGAGTTAATACTCAAGGCCCAGTTCAAAAATCATTTCCTCTCTGTAGATTTCCTTGAGAGATTAATTATGGTTCATTTCTGGTCCCAAACACTTTGTGCAGTAGTTTATCACAGCATTTGATCTCATTATAACCCTAACTTGTGCATCTTTCTTCTCCACCTAATCCTGAGCCCTTCTAAAACACAATAATGTGTCCTTTATGGCTGGATTCATATCACCTAGCATACAGCCAGCATCCAAATATACATGCATAATGTGCAGATTAGACCAACACTCGTCCCTCACTCTCTGAAATCGTTTTGCTAGTTTATATCCATGGCATTCCCTTACGGCAGTTGTTCAAACTCTACAGTACAACACGGTGTAGAATTGGAAACAAACAGATTAACTTAGGTTTAATTCATACAATCAAATATTCTCAGGTTAAGAAGAGATGCCAAGAGCTATGTAGTCCAATTTTCCATCACGCAGATATTTTTGAGTTTCTCAACCTAGCAGTCATCTAGCATTTGACATTGTGCAATTGGCCTGTCTTCATCCCATGCCCACAAAGTGTTCATAGCTGGCATCCTTCCTGGTACTGGGTCTCTACTCACCCTCTGGGGCCTCCCACTTCTGCAAAGTTCAAAGGCAGTGAAAAATGCCTCAGAGTGCAGTGTTTGAGTGTCTTCTAGCCTCCAGAATTGCACTTCCAAACCAACTGATGAAGGTAGCATCCTGGCACTGTCTTTTCTACTTATTTTCTATTGTGATTTTAGGAAGGACACTTACACTAGCTCTTCACATCCCCTTGAACTTTGCTCCCTTTGTACTGTAGGAGAAATTTTTGATAGTCTCACCCATAGATGCACTCTTCCCTAATTCCACTACTAATGTGAATTTTTCTCCTCTTTTCAGATTCCTCTGATTGAGTCAAGGAAGACATGGGGAATGCTCATTCAGGTAAGAAAGTGATGGAAGACACTTTCCTACAATCCTCGACTTCACTTCTCTTCGTAATGGAGCAATGCTAATCACATGTGATCAAAGTCAACTTTTGTACTGAGCAGAGCCATCACATGATTAAGGTCATACTATTAAGCTTGCCTTACTTTGTGTTTCTATGGAGCTGAAGTAGCATTTTCACTCTGAGCATCTCTGATCTACTACAATACACCTCACTCTAGTTTCTCTTCAACTGAATTTCTTTGCACATTTTCATCTGATCAATCAGAAAAGATAAGCTTTAAGATGTAAGTTTTTGGCTTTATAGGTGTGTACGTGAGAGACATCCCTTAGTCAACAGTATTGGTCACATACTGTAGCCTAGCTCGTTGGGGGCAAACCTATGGCACATGTGTTAAAACAAAAGGTGTTAATGTATGAGTTGTTTTTTCAATGTTCAGATTTAATTGCAATGTTGGCACTTTGTGATAAATTAGTGGGTTTGGGGGTTGTAATTTGGGCCCTCGTGTCTAAAAGGCTCACTGTCATTGGCCTAAAGTATTAGAAACATTTGTGCTTGGTGGGAACATAGGTTTGATAATGAGAGTAAAGTGGAATTTGATTCCCATTGGCCATTGCTTTTTGTGTATAAAAATCTTATCCATAATAACCCACCAGAGAGTCCATTTTGTCTGGATCAGAACAGTCTATCACAGGGACTGCATTTGTAAAGGGAAGCGACTACTTTGGGATGACTCTGCCTGAATGTCCCAGAGACATGGCTTGCAAGGGGACCTTTCAGTGCATATGGGCCCTCTGGGCTTGTATGGGTGAAGAGGTCAAGGAGACAAAAAACATGAGACTTTCAGAAAAGCAAAAGATGGAGACAAGCTTTTGGGTGGACAGACCTTTGTGGCAGGACTTATCACACTTTCAACAATGTTATTCTTTCCTACAAAGAGAAATGGTATTTGCATCAAATCCATCTCTCCCCAACATGTCTGCTTCGGAAACCAGGAGAAGTGCGGGTGTAGTGCCCAGTGCAAAAACAGACATCTGCCACTCGCAGTCACACACCATCAATTCAGCCAAACAACTTCATTTTCCAAATGCATAATACCTCTTACATTTGGACAGCTGTCACCAGACAGATATGGACTCAGAGAACTTCCCAGACAAATTCATTTTCAGCTGTGCAGTGTAGGGTAAAAGGTGGGTCTGTCTGAGCTACTGGGATTTTCAGCTGAGTAGAGATCACTTAAACATCTCAAGGCCTTGACTACATGTGCTACTCTGCATTCTTACTTGTATATATGGCCTTGAGCATCCAGGATACAGGAAATAATTATGTGGAGGAGGCAGCTGAGACACTATAGAAAAAGAGACGGGTGCCAGAGATAGGATGACGAACATAAAGCAACCTGAAACATATAGGTTACTACTATAAGGCTTTATATAGTCCCACAGACATGTTCAAAATATACAAAAATGAATGTGTAGTTCTCACCCTCCATGTTCTCATAAAACTATCCCAAGGCAAAATCTCTGAGCCAAATTTTCTGGCATTCTTCCCTTGTTCTGCAATAACAAAATACCATGGGATGGGTCATTGGTAAAGGAAAGGAATTTGTTTCTCATGGTTCTGAAGGCTGGGAAAGTCAGCATCTGGGGAGGGCTTCTTGCTGTTTCATAACATGGAAGAAGGTATCACATGGGTGCAAGCGAGCAAGAGATCAAACTCATAGCCTCCAACCATCTAATAATTGCTATCAATCTATTCCTGAGCCCCCAGACCCAAACACCTACTGTTAAGCTCCACCTCTTAACACAGCTGCCTTAAGGGTTAAGTTTCAATACATGTATCTTAGGGGACACATTCAAATCGTAACTACTTCCAGATGTAAATCCAAAATATTTTGTGCAAGTAATTCTGTTTATTCAAGTCCATTCCTAAAGAGACTGGGAAATTACACATTTTACTTCCTATGTCTTCTTCCTTTGCAACAACCTAGTAATACCATGCATATGAGGGGCCTTCCTGATCTGGGACAGGGCAAAGATAAGAAAATTAAAGATGAAGCATCAAATAATAAGAAAAAGTCACTTCTCCAGAAAATATGTGCAGTCGTGTCCACTCACTGGCTGATCATTTACCAAAGGTCATGACCACTGTAGGGAGAAAGAGGTGGTTGTAGACAGCAAGGAGGGTGGAGTGCACACTGGCCTGTTACCTGCAGAGTGGCTTCCCAGTAGCGTGAGTGTTCATGCCTGCTTATAAGGAGAGGAAACACTATGTCATGTGAAAACCAGTGGGAAACTCTTGATCTCCTCTGAGCCACTCAACTTTCTCTCCTCTCTTTTCAGATTACAATCTGGAGACCACTATTCTCATTCTGCCTATATAAATCTGTTCCTTGCCATTTTTGAAGTATAAAGCCAGTGAGCGAAAGAGTTTTCTTACTGAATTCTCTCCCAGGTTTGGATTAGGAATTACTGTGCCCAACTTGCAGGTGAAAAAAACAAGACACAAAGGGACAGTTACTGATCAAAGCTATACAACTAGTAAAGTGGAAAATCTAGGTGTCTTGTGGTTGCCCAGTACAGGATTTGGGGGTTCCCAGGTCCTTCTGTCATCCCCACTTAAATAGTGCTTGCTATTGGCTACCATGCCTGCTCTCAAACTGAATATGAAGCTATATATTCTTCAATAACTTCAAGTTCATTTCTCTCAATAAAAAGGAGTTACCGGGGTTCACAACATAATTATGAATCCCCATTTATGAATGGAAACCAATGAAGCTTAGATATTTGATGTCATTCAAACTTGAAGGAAAAATGGGAATAGAAATACCTAGCCAAATCTCCAAACTGAAACTCACTCCAATTACTAGCTATAAACTGCTGGATACATTACTGCTCTGAACTCTCAAAATTTTTAAGCAATGGGAATGATAAAATTTATCTCAACCTGTGTTATGAGGATAACCAGGTGTCTGTTACTGAAAATAATATCAGCCCAGATCTAATCAAAGTGTTTTGTGCACACTCCTCCTATAGCTAAAAGCAAATTTCCATTTCCAAGACAGAGGAGTACTTGTTCAGTATAACAACCCTTGAATAAATTCTTCATAAAATGTCCCCCAAACCACCATCTGAGAGCTCTGGAGCATGAGGGAAAACAAGAGACTTTGGAGGGCAGTCAAAACTTAAAAGATGTCTTAATGAAATGTCTTTCTTATTTGGGGAATTTTGCCCTGATGGTGAACTCCAGTGATGATGTAGAGAAGCTAAAGGTATATGTAACTCACGGTTATTTGACATATGGAGCAAGAAGATGGGATACAGAGCAACCAGGGCTACTGAGGTCTGAGAAGGAAATCTCAAAAATGGGAGGAGCTAAAGAAGAATCCTAAATCATTTGTATAAACCCAGCTGGAGTTTCTAACAGGTGCATGGAGCACATATGCATGAGATGGACTAATGCATCTCAGTTTTTCCTAGTTTTTGATGCTATGAATAATGCTGACATGAACATTCACATACAATATAATTTTCATTTATCTTGGGTGTATGCTAGGAGAAGACCTGCTAGGTCATATGGTAAATCTGTTTAATTTTGGGGAACCACTTGTTTTTCAAGATTGCTGTACCATCTTTGCCTGCACTGATCATCAGCCTTTTGTCATTATTGTATTATAGCTATCCTATGGGTATGAAGGGTTATCTTATTGTGGTTTTGAGTTGCATTTGGCTGATGGTAAATGACACTGAGCAACTTTTCATGTGCTTATCAATCAGTTATATGCTTTCTCTAGACAAATATCCATTCAAATCATAGGCCCTATTTTTTAAAGGGGTTTGTCTTTTTCGCTGTATCATTTCCATGAAAGTATAAAATTAATTTTGATAAAGCCCAATGCATCCGTTATTTTCTTTTGTTTCTAGTACTGATTCCTCAGTATTTAGGTCAGCCTAGGATTGTTTGCCTCATGGCCTTTATGCTCCTCTGAACTTTTATCTGAAATTTCAAATTACCTCTGAAATTCTATCAATTGGTATAATTGCTTATTTTCTGTTTCCCACTAGATTATAAGCACTCTGTAGGCTTCTGTGTTGTGGTCACTCCTCCATCCCTAGTGCCTGCAAAAGTCCTCTATCAAAAGTAGGCACTTGATACATATTTTATATTCATGAACATAAGATTCTTTATATTGTCTCAGGAAAAAACAAAACTGTCCAAACCATCACATTAGCAATGAAAAAAGTAGAGGATTGGCTGATTTATTTATTGCCTCCCTCAAAAAGCAGTTATAAAAGCACCTCCTACAGCAGCCTCCCTCCTTCTCACCTGGAACCTCAGCTCTATGGATTCCAGGGAAACATAGTTCCCTGCTCAGAGGGTGCCTGGGGCAGGGTATGAGCTGCTTGTATGGTAATGAGGCTGAGCTATACACAGGCGACATCTGCTCATTGAAACTGGCCAAGGCCACCAGCAGCCTCGCACAGCTTAATTCCAGAGACTGACAGCCACTGGGCATCCCTGAAGAGCCCTCACTTGGACATGGTTGGTCGCAAACCCAGTTAGCCAGCTCTGCAGGCTAACTGATCAATGTTTGGCCATTAACACTGCTTACCTCCTATACTACACTCCCGGCTCAATCCCCTCTCTGTGCAGTGCCGTCATTTGCATGGTTTATTTTCAGATGGTTTCCTTTCCTGGTTAACTTTACAAAAAGAATACACTTGGCCCATTTCACTCAAAAAAGAGGCTTCTACATTGTTCATTTTATCTTTACTGAATCCCAGATCTATAGGCCCCTCTTATTTTAAAAACCTAAGAGGCTTCCAAAGGTGTTTATGCCAGAGAATAATATTAAAGTTGTAATATTAGTAGGAATAGCAATGCTACCAAAATGTCAGCCTTCGACTCATCCAGGTTCCATCAGTGGGACCTTTCCCTCCTAAACTCAGCTCAGTGCCGCCCTTAATGAAATCACACCAGAGTCCTCTTCTGAAGTCCACTAGGAAACCAGCCCATCAGCTGGTGGG